GGTGTGTGTGCGAGAGTGAGCAGGATTGTATGACCAAGTTCATTGTGATTTTTACCAACTGCGTTGTACAACCTCAACATACAGGGTGATTCAAAAAGATTCATCCGATTTCAAAGTGCCATATTTTTACAACCTTGAGGAGCCTAGGAACCAATCACAATCCAATTGAAAGAGGGGGTCATAGAGTTTCTGACTGTCAGTGGAAGATGGCTCCCTTCAGTCTGAGAGGAGATGAGACCCCTGAGCAGAAAGCATTCTGCGTTCTCCACTTCAATAAGAGTGAATCCGTCATAACTGTGCAGTGTGATTTTTGTGGGCAGTGAAGCTCCAACAGCTCAGAGCGTTCGTCGTTGGTTCCACAACACTGGATGATCTCCGAAATCGCACTGAAAGAGCCGTGAGTGCAGCGACACCCGACATGCTCAATCCAGTATAGGATGAGTTTGACTATGGTGTTGATGTTGTCTGTACAGCTGGAGGAGGTTCAGACTGAGACCTTGTACAATTACATAATAAACTTTATGCTCATTTACACCATTTACAGTTCACTGCATTGATCTGTAACGATGTACAAGTGGAATAAATCATTTTGAAATCGGATGAATCTTTTTGCAACACTCTGTATTCTTACCTTTCCTTCTGCTGTGGAACCGAATGCAGTCGCTGCTTCATTCCTGCATTTCTCACAAACTTCGAGAAGCACGTTTGAATGGATTTACTCAGCACATGGTCCACGTTTCTGCTAATCCAGTAGATAGAGAGACAGAAAGAAAGACAGAACTTTATTGATCCCGGAGGAAAATTGCAGTGTTTCAGTAGCAAGACATACATTTGCACATAAACTTAGATATAATATGCAAAAATAAAAAGAATAGAAATAAAAATAGACAAGGTAAAGTATAAGAGAATAGGAATAAAATTATATCTTTATGCATATTTACATTTAGAAGAGCTGCAGGCAGGACAGAGAGACTACAGTAGTGTTAGTTGTACTCAATGCATCATCCACATTTCAAGCAATACAGTAACTCTGCGGACAGGACATTGAGCCAAGTGTTGTTTTGATCGTGGTTGCATCAGATATGCTCACATAACGAAAATGACTTTTATTGGCAAGGAAACAGTTTCAAGCACTCATTCCGATAACTTGAAAAATGCTGAATGTCACCTCTGATTATCGGTTGGGCCACAAATCATATGACCCCTAAAATTATCGCTTATTAATCTCTCAAGAGTATGAAATAATGCTTTTTAGGGGGCATTTTTGCCCTGACTGAAATTCAGGGTAATTTTTACACAAATAGTGGCACTTATTTTAAAATTAGGGCCAGTGTGGCTGCAGACTTTCAGTCAAACCGAGCAGGAACACGCCTCATGGAACTAATCAGTTGTTTATGGACTGAGACCACTGATTAAACAAGTGGATCCAGGTGTGCTTCTGCTTGATTGGAATTGAAACCTGCAGCCACACCAGCCTTTTTGTGGATAAGAGTGGTGACCCCTAATCAGAATACTAATTAATTAGAATTTTATAGCCTGTTATTTTGTTCAATCTTGTCCCTGAACTTGTCACAGAGAACCAGGGGTAATTCAACATTCCAGCGTTGCCTGAACTATAAAACAGACAAAATTTGCGTCTGCCAGGGTGTCGCAGACCTTATCGCATGCATCAAAAATTTTGAAAGGGCGAAGACGCTGTCGCTCACTTTGATTGGACAGAAACTCAAAGTTCTACGTTCTGGACTGTTGCCGTGGTCACAGTGTGCGGCTGCGTTTACTTTCTTGCTGCTTCGCTCCTTTCAGAAACAGAACGGGTTGCCAGCTATTCAGAACTTGGATCAGTATACATTTATAAGATTTGTTTTCATTTTCAAACATTTTTCCGCAACTTTAAAAACTGGTCCAAGCAGAAGACGCATCCGCGACTTACCGGAATTTTTAGGAAAACTGAATCTGGCAACCCTGCGTGACGAAGAAAGAACTCCCAAATGAAACACGCATGTGAAAACAAGTAGTATTTCTGGTTGCAGCTTCACTGTAGCAGCTATTTTCAGACTGTTTTGTGTGGTTTCACTGCTGATTCAGTAGCTGTGCTGTCATACAGGTTTTCATAGAAACTACAGACGATGATCTATTCCAGCGTTTTGTCGTTGGCACAAGACTATGAAAGCCTAGAGTGCTGCGATCTGGCAACCACAGTTTTTTTAATTGAGCGACACTTATCGCCCGGACTATAAATTATCCTTTAGTTCTTAGTAATTCATTAACGATTCATGGGATGTACTTGTAGCACGTTTTTCTCTCCGATACAGATGCCTGATCCTCAAGTGTTTGCTGACACTGAGGACCAATAAGCTATATCTAACTACACATAAGTACTCATTTGGTCCCTATAAATCCTGATATATACCATTTATACTTCCTAAATATTTTCTTTTGGTAAACACAGAGTTCTGTGTCACAAATAAAACCTACTAAGCTTAAAGGAATGGCAGTTATTGGTTGTATAACTTCACACTTGAGTGGTTTCAGAGCTCTGAAAACTTACCGTGCTCTTTGGCATTGTTTATCTAAACGCCTGATTCACTTTGAAGTACTGAAATCCTTGCTGGTGGTGCGAACCCTCGAGATACCGGCGTTACAGATTTTGCAGTGAGCATTTTTACTACTGTTTGTCTCAAGCGTGAAATGATCCCACAGCTGGCAACACGTTGTTTGCTCCATTTAAGCTTCATCTGCTGCCATCATTCATTGACATGCACAAGCGACCAGAGGAGGATGGGTTCCCCTTTTGAGTCTTGGTTCCTTTCAAGGTTTCCTCCTCTTGCTCTTAGGGAGTTTTTCCTTGCCACTGTTGCCATTGGCGACGCTCATGGGGGCTCGAACCCGGATTTCTGTTGTAGAAAGCGCTATATAAATAAACTCTGACTTGACAAGCACTACTGGGTGACTCGTGCTTTCTCTGTTGCCAGTACCAGTACTGTATTTAAGTGCCAATACTGGGGCCGATACCAATACGATATTGATGCACCTCGACATAATACAAAAGTATAATTAACGTGTCTTGAAATAAATAACTGAAAGAGCATGTTTTAACTAGGATACCTCCTGGTGGCCATTCCTGTTCTGTGTCTCGCTCAAAGAAGGGTGTGGTAAATCGGCAGTATACATGTGTCTCAGTAAGATTAACCACTTACACTGTAGGATTGTTGCTCAGACTTAATACAGGGAGATTCACTCGAAAGAGGCCCTGATTATTCTGTAATAACTCTCTCTAGGACGAAGCAATCTGGACAAAACAATGTGCAATGAGATCCTCAGTATATGGAGCTTCGAACAAGCTGGGATGCTCCTGCGTCAGAGCAAAGAGGTAGGCCCCGGACAGTCGTCACGACGTTTAACCCCGTACCCCTTCACTCAGTCACTCGACTTCTCATCAGGATGGTGGTATACAGTATGAGAGGAGCATGGCTGAACTGAGTCCTTCTTCGGCAACAGGGTAATTTCAAAGGGGCTTTGGCCACCACGATCGCCGGATCTGACACCACCAGACTTCTTCCTTTGGGGTACGCTCAAAGGAAAAGTCTGTCGGAACAAGCCGCGCAGTGTGGAAGATTTGAAGGAAAACATCCAACGTGAATTTGCTGCTGTTCCCCCGATACGCTCGCGGATACGTTCAGGAACATAGAACGCCGCGTCCAAATGTGTCTGGCAGAAAACGGAGATCACTTCCAGCGTCGCATGTAATGCAATCAATTGCACATACATCAAAGTATGTAGCGTATGTTTTGGTTCAGATTGCTTCATCCTAACGAGAGTCACAACAGAATATTCGGGGCCTCTTTCAAGTGAATCTCCCTGTATCTAGTAATTAATGCTAACTAATATGTGGTTATAAAGTAGAGATACCCAAGGTAAAATATTACTCCAGTAAAAGTAGAAGTTCCTCCCTTTAGACCTCCACTTGAGTAAAAGTACAAAAGTATTTGCCTTCAAATGGACTTAAGTATCGAAGGTGAAAGTACTAAAAGATTAATTATGACTCTGATGTCCTGTTATCATTTTTGTAACAAGACTGGCTTCATTAACTCATTTTAGGTGAAAATACTCCAGTGTCTCTCTTGGTAAACCAGTCTTTTAATAGAATGTCATTAATTAGTGACGCTGATGTCTATTAAAATGATCATAAGCACAAAACACTGAAGGCAAACAGTTTCCATCAGGTAGAACTGAGTGGCTCTGAAATCACTTTTTACAAACAAGCAAAGTTTCAGTTTAAGATTTATTTAACTTAGTTCCAAGTTTAAGTTTAATAAAAACTTTAAACTCAGATTCACAAATGAGTTTCCTTTACTAAACTGCGTCTGTAGGTCTCTGTTCATAAACATAAACTAGCCTAAACTAATTTACTATAAAATGAAATATTGTTTGTATAAATTCAGAATAAAGACACGTCAGTCACAACTGCATATGTGTACATATTTCTATATTGTGGTCTGTTTACACAAAGTTAGGTTAGTTCATCATTTATGTTGAATAGACTCTCCCACAATTTTACGCTGCTGCACTGATGTTGAACCGTGTGCTGCACTGGGTCGGTATGACCAACAGGTCAAAACAAGCTCAAAACGAAGTGACCGCTGTGCCCTGATTGGTGTTCTTACTTCGCGCTTCTTTCATTTTGACATGTTACGTTTTTATACACACATAAACCAAAAGGAACGACAGATTTCTCATAATGTAGTGGAGTAAAAAGTGAGATATTTGACTTTGAAATGTAGTGGAGTGAAAGTAAAAAGTCACCCAAAATGGAAAAACTTCAGTAAAGTACAGATACACAAAAAACTACTTAAGTACAGAAACGAATTACATTTACTTCGTTACTGTCCACCACTGGTGACAATGAAGAATTAAAGACCTGCCGAAGTGTCCTTAGGAGTGAGTTAAATTGATTTCGTGGGTCATTCTCTCTTATTGTCATCTCTTCTCTTTCCTCACAGAATGGGCGAAACTTCCAGGACTTTGACTGTCAAGTAAGTGTTTCTTTTTTGGCTTTTTTTTTTTGCCCCTCCAGAATGCACAGACGTCTGCCTTGGCCAGTCCATTTGATGTCTGTTCGTCCTCGATTGCCTCGATTCTGCTCACTATCACTTTTGCCGCTCTGTCTCAACATGTAGTCTCTCAGGCCTGCCTAGCTCACAGAGTGGCAGAGTGGATATGGCTCCTCCTGTTCAGTCCTTAGGCTGAGCTTCAAAGTTTGAACAACTAAATGAACATGCGTGTGTGGTTTCAAGCGAGTGGGTGGATGGGTAGAGCTGCGTGGGTGATTGGGCTGGAGGAGAATTTAAATAATGTTAGAATTATGAGTGAATTGTCTTTGAATGCTTGTCTGTGTGCAGTTATGACAGAAGCTGCATAGCTGTGTAAGAGAACTGACGTTTGCATGGAGATTACAAATGTTTTATCTTGCTTCCTCTTATCATTTACCTTCTTTTTTGCCTCACCACCTGCCCTTTCCCTTCCTCCCCTCTCCTGACAGCTCAGGGTTGTCTTCAGCTGACCATAACCGTCTAGTGTCTCTCATTATAGCCCAATGGAGCGACGTGCTAGTTCGTGTTATGCATATGTATTCAGTCTGGTTCTTGACTCTGGCTTGACTGACAACAAGGCCGTTCCAGGCTGTTGCAGCAAAAGGTAGCGTGGCTATTAGTGTAGCTGCCTCTCTCGTCTACATAGAGGTAGAAACACAACCGCACTGCAGACGTCGGGCCAATTAGAGAAGATGCGTTTGAGTGCAGGTGTGTGGCTAGACTTGCTGAATTGGTTAGGCCCTGAGGCTATAGCCTAGCTTGGTGTTGTCAGCTGTAATTACTAGATACTCACAATTCTGTCTTCTGTAAGTATCAGCAGCAGCAGTAGCCAGTTCTTGTTATCCTCCATCATGCTCACCCTGCTGTGTTACTGTCTGTTTTACATTTTTTAATTGCATAATTATTTAAATATGTGTATGAAAGTGAAAATAGAGCTGGTTTGAACAGCTTTTTACAGGCTTTGAGTACTTATTCTCAGAATTACCCTTTAAAACAGTAATATTTATGTTTCATAATTAAATGTAATGTAAGTGAAGGTAGTTGCTTGTGTGCTGATGTTGCTATAGAAGTCGCAGTCGTAGCCCTCTTATTCAAACACAGCTTTTGTGAGCGATGTAGATGCGAAGAATACAACAGATTAGAATTATTAGCTTATTTATCACCATTACAGTTTTAGGTTTAGATTTGTTTCTCTTTATTTTATCAAGTTATTCTATTTGGCTAATTCACTTTTTTTCCATGATGTAAAGCAGCAGTGATGGTGACAAAGTTGAGTGTAGTCATAGCCAAGCTACAGAGAGCGGAGCACAGGACTGAGGAAAGTTTGGAGCTACAGGCTCTTCTAAACACAAGGAGAACCACCTTATAAGGGGCTCGGCAAGTATCCCGCTGGGTTGACGCAGGCTGTCCTCCTGGACCCGGTATTGAGCTCAAAACTCACCACTACAAATAGGTTTGAGGCTTTGAGCTCCACTGTTTTTGCATGGCCCTCACCAGATACTAGTGGTCCTCGGCTGTGTATCACTATAGTTAAATATTTGAGATGATGCGTCAAAACTCTGTACTGGGAATTTTTCTTATCATACAATAATTTTAAGTGCTCCCACAGTTTCTCAGACATCTTTTTATTTTTCCAGAGGCCACATGGAAGCAGTGCAGTTTGCTGTGCTCTGAGTCAGGTGAAGGGAATGCCTAGACTATTATTTTTGGCTTGAAAAAAAAAAAGACAAAGCTTCCAAATACAAAATAGAAAATTGAAGACCAAAAAAAGACACAAATACTGTGTGTCACATAATCAGTTAGTCAATACACACACACATTTTCTAAGCCGGGGAGAACATGCAAACTCCACACAGAAAGGACTCTGGTCAGCCAGCCAGGAATCGAACCCAGGCCCTTCTTGCTGTGCCACTGTGCCACCCTCAGTTAGTTAACAAATAGTTAATTACAAAATTTACATTTGTTTATATATATTTTACATTCTGCACCGATCAGGCATAACATTATGACCACCTCCTTGTTTCTATGCTCATTGTCCATTTTATCAGCTCCACTTACTATATAGGTGCACTTTGTAGTTCTACAGTTACAGACTGTAGTCCATCTGTTTCTCTGATACTTTGTTAGCCCCCTTTTACCCTGTTCTTCAGTGGTCAGGACCCCCATGGACCCTCACAGAGCAGGTACTATTTGGGTGGTGGATCATTCCCAGCACTGCAGTAACACTGACGTGGTGGTGGTGTGTTAGTGTGTGTTGCGCTGGTCTGAGTGGATCAGACACAGCAGTGCTGCTGGAGTTTTTAAACCCCTCAGTGTCACTGCTGGACTGAGAATAGTCCACCAACCAAAAATATCCAGCCAACAGCGTCCTGTGGGCAGCGTCCTGTGACCACTGATGAAGGACTAGAGGATGACCAACACAAACTGTGCAGCAGCAGATGAGCTATTGTCTCTGACTTCACATCTACAAGGTGGACTGACAAGGTAGGAGTGTCTAATCGAGTGGACAGTGAGTGGACACAGTGTTTAAAAACTCCAGCAGCACTGCTGTGTCTGATCCACTCGTACCAGCACAACACACACTAACACACCGCCACCACGTCAGTGTTACTGCAGTGCTGAGAATGATATTCAGCACTTTAAATGTTTCTTTTTACGTTTGTTTCAAAAAACATGACAACACAAGGCAAACATAGTTTTTCTTATAAACACAAATGTATTATCAGCTTTAAATTTAGAAAAAACATTTTGGACAGAATTTCTCTGCCTGTTTCAGTCAGTTGTGAGTGAAAAATAATTGATCTCAAATTATAAAATCATAGAATGCTTTTGTCATGCTGCTTTGAAGGGTTAATGAGCAAGCTCTCTTAAGATGGCTCTGAGATTAAGTGCACTGATAAGGTGAAGATCATGTAACAGCATTAGTTCATCAGCATCAGAGCCTGAGGTAAACCTGGTCTGCTGTGCTTTCTGGTTGAAGATGCGAGCAACACACTGCCAGCGGTGCTGCGTTTAAAAATAGCCTCAAGCAGCCGGCACCTGTAATGGAGCGACCTGGCTCAATGAAGCGACCTCTCCGGAGACCGCTGCTCGACAACGGGGAGCCGTGTCATTCACACACTCGCACGCACTCGCACACACGCAGGTGGTGATGTTGGGCGCTTTAATAGATTGTAGAGCTGTTCTGAGAATTCACAGCTGTGATGTCATTGGTTGTTGTGCGCAGTTAACAACCGGCGCTTATAAGAAACAGAGAGTGACAATAGAGAATGTACCCTGTAATTAGACCAAGATTAGTTCTCCAGTTTTTATTCCTTCCTTTCGCTCTTTGTTTTGTTTTAGTGTCTAGGTTGGGGGCAGGAGAATAAAACAGATCTTAATGCTCTGCTAATAAAGTAGAACTGTAACCTCTCAAAACAGTAGTGGTCCTTAACTACACCCCTGAGGAACACCATTGTTAACAGGAGCATCACTGTAGGAGCACAACAACTCGCACTACAGGTAACAATGAAAAAATTATTTAACCATGTTTACATGAGGCAGAAAGATGTACTAAAAAGACAGAACACAGTCTAATTTAAGTGAGTTGTGTAAAGTATTCAGTCCCTTTTAGTGCTTCTTACTCTGTATGACACTGGTATAGATACATTTCCCTCTCTGCCCTCTGCACAGGAGCTTCCAGTGCCCTCTCTCATCTATCACCTCTAATGTCATTTAAAAAAGGCTAGTTGCTATGGTAACCAGCGATGGGGCTGCTGTGTTCACTTATCTGCTTTAGCAGAAATTGAAAGTGCCAGTGTTGGGAGGCCCCTGATCTGTGACACCTGTTGGTCTCCTCCAGGAGGGGGCAGCACGAATGCACTGGAGTGAGACGACAGGCAGCTTGAAGCATGACAGAATGGTTTGGAAGCTTTAAGTAGGTGTGTGCAGGTTTGTGTTTCATTAAATTGGGACAGAAATATGCCAGGTTTGGATTGAATCCGCATCTCTGCAGGTAAGTTTTGTTGTTCCTGCTTGTCGCTGTTGTCGGAAACAAAACCTCACATCTCCATTTTTGTCGTTTTTCAGTTTTTGACATCATTTGAAAATGACTGTTGCTCTTTACATTGTGTGAGATTTTATGATGAATGGACCAAAAGAAATGGTCCAAAATGACTTGGAAAAAATGTCTGGTTCCATTGACTTACATTAAAAGTGAAGTATGTTTTTTCCCTCTCCTGTAAAGTTGGCATTTTGGAGATACGAGGTTTTGCTCCGACAGCAGTGATAAGTTGCTTGGTCGTTTATCGAACTATTCTAGTTATATCTTTCTGTATCAGGTATCAAGTTTCTTTTCTCAAACCTTTGAGATTAAATCACAGTTACATTGTTTTCAGTACCATATGTGCAAAGGTGAATCACAGCTGCGGCCAGATAGCTCAACCTAAGGGAACGATTATGCCAGGCTGATATTTATCTGCTGTGTAACCAGTTCCTGCAGGTGCGTCACTTCTAGACATTATTGTAGAGATTAGGAAAATGCTGGGTATGCAGTGCTTTGCGGGAAATGCTGAGTGATGCACGGGTTGGGCTGATTTTTGCCGATTGTCTGATTCAGAACAGTGGTTGAATCATGAGTCTAGAATAACTTCATCCCATCCGTGTGCAAGAGTTGAGTGGAAGTGTCCCTATAGGACCTACATGACAAGGCTACTGTTTGCTGGACCACGCAAGAAAAGTGACCCAGACAGTACAGATCGGATTATGTTAGTAATAAATTTTAGTGGTTATATTAGTAATATTGATGATTACACATTATTAGTATTAATTCATTAATTCATTAGTTATTCATTTTTCAACATCAACGGGAAAAAATACAGGGTCAAAAAGATTCATCCGATTTCAAAGCGCCATAGTTTTACAACCGTGAGGCGCCTAGGAACCAATCACATACCAATTGAAAG